ACTAAAAAGTGTGTCCCTGTTGTTCTTCTAAGACCTCTTTAATTTTGAAAGGCTGCCATAAGGTCTCCCCAGAGTCTTTTCTTCTCCAGGATGAACAACTCCAACTTTCTCAGCCTGTCTTTATAGGATAGGGTCTCCAGCCCTCTGATCATCTTCAGGGCCCTCCTCTGGACTATCTCTAACTGGTGCTGAGGACCACAGAGTGGGGTCTCACCAGACTGGAGTAGAGAGGCAGAATCACTTCCCTCAGCCTGCTGGTCATGTTTTTTTTGGAATGTGGTTGTCTTTCTGGACCACAAGTGCACATTGCCAACTCATGTCCAGCCTCTCATCCACCAGCACCCCCAAGTCCTTCTCAACAGGGCTGCTCTTGATCTGTTCATCCCCCAGCCTGTGTTGATACCAGGGGTTGCCCCGACCCAGGTGCAGCATCTTGCACTTGGTCATGTGGAACCTTGAGAGGTTCACATGGGCCCACTTCTCAAGCTTGTCCAGGTCCCTCTGGATAGCATCCCATCCTTCAGGTATGTCAACTGTGCTGCTCAGCCTCCTGTTGTCTGCAAACTTTCTGAGGGTGCACTCGATCCCTCCACCTATGTCATTGATAAAGACATTAAACAGTACTGGTCCCAGTGCAGACCCCTGAGCGATATCACTTGTCACTGAGGTCCATTTGGACATTGAGCCATTGACCGCTACCCTTTGGATGTGACCATCCAACCAATTCCTCATCCACCAAACAGTCCACCCATCAAATAAATATCTCTCCAATTCAGAGAGAAGGATGTTGTGGAGGACCATGTCAAGTCCTGACAGAAGTGCAGATAGAAAACATAAGAAGTTCTTCCTTTGTGTTCTGATGTAGTCACTTCATCCAGCCACCAGGTTGGTGAGGCAGGACTCACCCTTGGTGAAGCCGTGCTGGCTGTCTCAAATTACCTCCCTGTACTTCGTGTGACTTAGCACAGCTTCTAGGAGGATCTGTTCCATGATCTTCCTGGGCACAGAGGTGAGGCTGACAGGTTGGCAGTTCCCAGGGCCCTCCTTTCTAAAGGAATACTTCTGCTTTTTCATTACCATGCTTATGATGACTTTATTAATTTGTTGATTATTCCCAAACCAGAAGATGTAGTGCTTGTTGCCACAGGTATCATAAACTGTGGGCAATTATAGGGAAAGGTTCCCACAACAGTTTGGGGACAAACTGAAATGCAGGTTCTACATTACTTATAAGGATGTGAAATGGTGGAAATCCCTTGTGGGAAGGAGCTCACTGTTGTGAGCTGACCGTTATGTTTCATAGTTGTATAAGGACAGGTCTTGTTCTCCACTGTTCTGGTCAGCTGTCAGGGTATGTGACTATAGTTTCTGGATTACCTTCACAAGGGAAAGGAAAAAGACATTAAGATTTTAGTTTCCTTAAAAAAAAGAAAAAAAAAAAGCTGAGTTAGAATGTAGCTTTGAAAAGCCCAGCACACCCCACTCCTCCCTTTTGGTGTCCTGCATCTCCTCAGGCGGCCAAAGAGATCAGCTTTCCTCCCTCCCCTTCTACAGGTCCCTCTTTGGTGGGATTCTCACATTTTCTGCTCATGCCTTTCCTTCTTCACCTTAGGCTTTTCCTCTGCATATTGCAGATGTGCACACTAAATTGAACACACAGTTCTCTAGTATATGCAAACCAGCCCTTGAGATTAGGGGCAGCTGGGACGGGCAGGACTTCAGACACACCTTGGCACAGGGAGCTGAGCTTCACCATTTGGAAAGTTATTTTACAGCTGCTGCCAGAATTTTTTGCTCCCTTAGGGCAGGGCTTCAGGCAAGCACAAAAATCTTCAAACAGGAAGTATTTTCTTCTATTTATGGTTCCACCTGCTCTCAATTTCCTTGAAAATACTGCAAGAACATTCCCTTGGTAGGAAAATTGGTTACTTCCATTCTGGTCTTGACTGCAATAGGTGCAAAACCCAAACAAAATGGAAAACAATATGTCAGTGAATATTAAAGTCAGGGTGGTTTTGATTATACAGTGTTGATTTCTCTCTTGGGTAAAGTTTTGTGCCTGTTCTGTTTTGTTTGAGTGGATAGTCCAGCAGTTCACACAGCCATAGAGGAGACTGTAATTCAAGTAACACAAATTAAGAGATATCTCTTGCTTCTCTTGGCCACAACTGTTGCAAGAATAAACATAGGTACCAAATTGTGTATTCTTTGGGGGTAAAATGTAAAAAATGGAAAGCATTCCTGTGGTTCTTCATAGGAAGATGAACCATCACCACTCCTGCAGCTGCCTGTCATTGAACATAGTTTTGTGTTATTTGGCTTCTGGAAGAAAGAGATACATCACAAGAACTGCTGTCTTTCTGAGTGGGTATGAATAAACACTGTAGAGAACTTTGGTATTGTTGTTTCCTTGCTACAAGACGATCAGGAGAAAATTTGGCAGTAATTTTCTTAGTCAAAGGGAAGGAAGAGGGAGCCTTTGGAGGACAAGCAATGCTTGCATCGACATTTCACACACACTTCATGTATTCACGGATGCTTTCCTTAGAAGTAACAGCAAGAGAAAGACTATGGATAGAATACCCCACAGGTATCCACAGTGAAATGCTGCACAAGAACTACAATACCTCTTCAAAGAGTCTGGTATTTACAGAAAGGCCTTTGCAACGTTACTACATGATTTTTTATAGTGACCACAAATCAAGAGAGAGGGAAAAACAAAGCTTTTCTGCACATTATCTTCAGTTTCCTAAACCAACCAGCATGTAATTATCAGTGTATAAAAACTGAAAGTGTGTTCTAGGATTCACTGAGACCGGTTACTAATAAAGGCATTTTCACAGCTGAACCTGACAGTCTGTTTACTGGTTTTAAATGTGAATGTTGTTTGGATCCTGGCACCTTTACTCCAGGTCATCAGCTGACATAATTGAAGGGAACAGGAGCACTAATTAGGATGCAAAGATTGTTGTTCTTGTTATATTACAATCTGATCTTTAAAATTGAAGCCATCTTTTCATCCCTTTCCTGGTCTGCAACTGATTTGGCTCCTCCCTTGGCTGCTCTAGCTCTTGCTTTGAGGTCCGGAGTTGAGTTTTACTTGGCAGCTCAGAGAGGAGAAGGGGGAGAATATGAGATTTCCTCTTGGACAGTCGTGAGAGGAAATAGTTCAGATAAATCGCCCACCACCAAAGGCTCATTTTACTCCTGTCTCAGAAGGAGAACTGCTGGGTGAGGAGGATGTGGCAGTAACCACTTGGAGCTTTGTGATGAGGAATGAGGAATAGAAAGCCTGGAGATACTACTGATTTGGCTTTAATTTTTTATTCAGGGGCTTCTTGTGTTGCAACTACTCATAGCTGATTATCCATAATCAAGACATTTCAAACAAAGCTATTAACAGAAATATTTCTAGTCTCCCTATGAATTTCTTCAGAAAGGTTTAAAATCTTAAACCAGATTGGCAGGTTGACATTTCCAAGAATTGTTTTTGCCATGTAAAACTGCTAGCATAAAAAAGACTAGGAATCATTAAGGATTTATTGAGTTTCCATTTTCTCCATTAAAGTACCGACTATTATTTTCAAATGAAAGATTTACCGTAATGAAATCATTAGTGACTGTGCATTTAGTTGTGTTTTTTTTTGACAGCACTCCTAGCTATCATAGCCAGGCAGTCAGACTCTGCCTGTATAACATGCATAGCAGTGACAAGCTATCTTTTCCTCTTTGATAGTTTGATAGGAGATGGAGAATTTGATGAGAAGTGAGCAGATGTCAGAATGATCGTAGCTACCTACGGTTCTTTTTTTTTTTTTTAAGCTCATGGGGTATTAACTCTTTGGCTTTTTACTTTGTTTTCTTTCTTTAATTGCAAAATTATTTTTTTTTTAATGACTGAGTGTGTGTTAGAAAAGCAGCCTTGGGGAGTGAGATGAAGAAGAAATGCAAAGTAAAATATCACATTACTGCCCAAGTAGGGAAAAATATGTCCACGTTAAGCTTTAGAGGAGTTTAGCATTCAGTTCATGGAAATTCTGAAATATGGGAGAAACTGATGACAACACTTACATATTTACAAGAGATTGGATCCTTGGAGGAGTCAAAGGTCTGATTGTTGTCTGTCTGCAGTTTTTAAAGAGAAGATGGCTCTGTAGTGAAGGCAAATCAAGCCTTCACAGGTAACAGTGACAATCTCCAGAAGCAGACTGCTGAACTAAGAGATGTTTTTCTGTCTCAAATTGTTTATTATTCTTAAAGACCTAATGAATCCTTCAGACTAAGACGTCTGCATCAAAGCACTCGCTATTTTGGTTTGATATTCAACACCAAACAAGTGCCTAAGGTTTAATAAAGTATGTTGGTTGTAGCCAGATAAAATATCAAGATCTTGTATCTTGTAATTGTGGATACTCCCAACAGCTGGCTTTAAAACCCCACGATTAGAGTCTCATGCCTACTCCTACCCATACAGTGTGGCATGCCGCAACCACAGTCCCTTTTCTTCATATGTGGTACCATTATGTCAACTCCAGACTGTCAGCTCAGCATTGTGGCAACAGGTAACAAACTAAAATCTGGACTAGATGAGGTTGAGCATTCAACTTTTAAAGGGCATTTCTGTTCTTGAAAATGGTACTTAAAGCAGAGTCTGGGGCTTCCTGTTTGATCAAGCAGACCTTCAAGGTAAATCTGTTTAGTGTACTTTTCGATTACCAGTCCTGAAATCTCAGCATGGAGTAAGGCTTGTTCGTAAACAAGAGTAAGAAAAGGTTCTGCTGAACAGACTGTATTCCTTGGCACAGATCGACTGTTCTCTGCTGTAATCAGTGGAGGTAGCACCTTACAATTACACATCTGAGGGCACCAGCCAATCCACCACGTTCTGCCTTCGATAGCAGATAATTCTTTCGTTTGCCAGGAGGAATGGAAGAGATGTCTCATTTCCTTTCTTTCCTGAGCATCAGGGGGAACTACATGTACAAATATTCCTCTTGCAGTTGCCTGATCCTCCGTGTGGCTGGTGCCTGGGGCAGATGCATGGTGCTTCCCTACTTACAGATATATCAGCTGCATGTTACTGTCCCTCTTCTACTCTTCTTTGGAGCATTTGCTAGATGAGAGACACTGGACCCAAGAGTTCAAAATGAAAATTTGCCTGTGACAGTGAAAGTATGTCTTAAATGTCTGAAGATTTAATAGTGTTTTGAGATTGTGTGCATCCTCTGTATTTTGTCTCACAATTGTCAGCAGAGTTTTCATGAAAGGGAACCAGGACAGGAAAGGAGATTTTAGTGCCCAGATTTTTAGAAAGTAATGTTACAAAGGGTGGGATTGTGGAAACAGAACAGCTCTTTCAGATATAAAACATGATAAGTTGTATCAGCATAATGATGCTCAGCAGAAGCAAGTGAGTAGCAGAAGAGGAATGTAATTTCAATTACACCATAAATTTGTTTTTGGCTGGCACAAACAGCTATCAGAAGGCAGACAAAATTTCCTTCCTCATCTTAATGAAATACAAGCACTCTGGTTTTAATTTGTAATTGGCATTCCTTCTTTAATGCAACAGAGGTTGGAAGACACTGCCCCTCTCTTTTTTTATGAAATTTATTTGCTTGGAAACATTCCTCTGTTTGTATTATTAATTCCCTTACATTTTTACTATGTGAATTTCCTGTGATGATCTCATGATGTTTATAGCATTTCTTGCAATGGTGCAAACAGATACTGATGCCTTGTTTTCATATTTGGGTGTGGCAAGGAATAGCCACATGTAAACTGCTGGTGAGCCACATCCAGGAAGCCCTATCTAATATCAGCTTGAGACTCGTTTCAGGCTCAAGGTAGATTCACTGCTAATGCTGTCGAGCTTAAGGACTGTCTCCACCGAGTTCCAGTAGTGAGTAAAGATAAATTAAGAAAGACGAAACCACATGCTAAAAATAAATTTGAAGTACCATTGGTTAGTATTACAGATGCAGGAAAGAAAACAGTCCTTGAGAAAAAATTCATGAATGTGCAGCGCTGTTGTGTATGTAAGAATTCTGAGTAGTCTTACACAAATTTTTAGCCAATATAACTGCTTAAAGTACAAGTAGCTCTTTCATACTCACAAAAATGAAAGAAGATACTTCAGAGTGTTTACTGACATTTATTAATGTGTTTAGGACTATCAAAGTGTTTTCAGTCAAAGACCCTTATTGTATTTCACAAAAGTTAATAAATTACATCATGGAATTCTCTGTGTGATTTACTACAGGTTTACTGATGGGAGAAAGCAAGGCACAGGATTATTTAAAACATACACTACTTTTTGTTTGTTTGTTTATTCCTGATCTCTTGAGGAAGGATAGCCAGTGGTCTTCAAGGCCCAACTACTATGCAACGAATTCTTATTCTTTAACTGCAACTAGAGTAGTTTGTTCAGGCATATGTTTGAAAGCAGCTTGATATTTATTTTGTTTCTCAGATTGGGATTGTAGTACATGTGTGTGCCTAAAGAGCTTCTGCCTGAACTGAGTATCCTTTCATTGGCTGCCCTCCAAATCACAGCTTTTAACAGCAATCTTTAAACCCTCATCATTTCTTCTCGGTGTTTACTGTAGAAAAATTGTTTCTGCTGCTGACTTTGCTCCCCTAGTCTAAGACAAAGTGACTTTTATACTGGCACAGAGGGTTGCCGGAGGCAGAAACTATTACAGAAAAACTTGTTGGGTAGACAACATAAACAAGTCACCAGTCTGTGAATCTCGCTGCTACATGATTGTCACTGAAGGGCAAGGATCTAGGGAGACTCAAAGGAGACTAGGCATGCATCTGTATGAAGTGAGCAACCAGACCTGTCATACAAGTGCAAATATTACCACAAGTTTTAGGAATGAAGGCAACACTGGATCCAGGGTTTAAGTACACATCAAATTTGGAGATTTACGTGGGGTCCCATTAGCTTGAAGGGATTTCCTGCAGAAGCTTCTTCTGTCAGACACTGTCAATGATCATCCCCAACTTGCTTCCCAAAGGGAACATGCAGGTGTCTCTCAGTCTGATATGCATAACCTTGCTAAAAACATACTCATTGATATTGAGAAGCTTCACAGCCATAAATCCCTAACAGAAGGGATTGCATCTAAATCAACCCTAGATTGAAACTCCAGCTTCATGTTCTTCCTTCATCTGAGCTATTAGAAATCCTCATTCAAATGTCAAATGTCCATTTCTGTAATGTGTTTTGGCATTTTATTTTCTTATTCTCAATATAGCTTCCAGGCATGGCTGGCTTTTCCTAGTTGATGTTTATCTTTTCCTCAGGAACTTTAATTAAAAATAGTCCATCCTAATAATGCAGTGGTTTGTGTGAATTTTCTCTGGCAAAATAAATTACAGTGGGATATATCATCTTGCTGCTTACTTATGGAAGTTTTTTTAATGGAAACTGCTAGATGAACATCTAGTCAGTAATTCAACTGAAAGGCCTTTACTTTTAATGTTTATTCCCAATGGCAAATGAAGGAAGGACAATGTTACAGAGTTTCTAGGAAATCTGAGAGTCCAGTTTTTAGATGGTGCATGGTTTTAATAAGCCTTTTTAGCAAGGTTTACTCTACATCATGGATATATAAGCCTTATCCTGACTGTAGTAAAATAGGATTTAGTGCTGCTCTGTACCTTCCCAGCAAAGTTGAAGCAAAGAGGATTTGCGTGGGTAGGTATGTGAGAGGAATAGCTGCATCACCTGCAGTCACTAGTGGACTGCAGCATCACTGAGAGGATTTGGGCTCTGGGTTTGTGCAAGGGAAGAGCTGCTGTTCAATGCCAGACTTAGGCCCACCTCCTTCTCCAGGACATGTAGGAAGGGATATGGTGTGGCAGAGCTCAGCACAGACTGTTTGGCATCACTTTTTGTGCTGGGATTGGAGAAGACAAATCTAGTGAGGGATCAAGCTCCATGCAGAGATACGTGTAGTTCTTTTCTTTGTTCACTGTAACATGTTAAAAAATGTCCTCCAAGTTTTCATATCCTTTGGACAGGAGTTATATAAAATCTAGTGCTCCCCTTTTCACAGGCCATCTTTGTGGGTCCTTGAACATTTCATAGGGTAGGTGATGGCATGAATGATCTGGAAATCAAAGTCTGCCCGAGAAGGAAGTGTGTGCTTCCTATTGCATGAATATGGTTGAATCAAGTCAAACAAAGGGGGTTTGATCACTGATTTTCAAAGAACCTTGTTTGTCAGGTTAGTGGTGAGATGCAATTCCATTGTTCTTCAGGATTTTGGTATGCTTCATATGTGTACTTATGACTCATGTTCTTTCTGTTCAGTGGGAATTCAACTGGTAGTTGGAAAAGGTGATATGGGGAGTTCTTTACCAAAAAGTTGAGAAAGGCAGAAAAACTAAAGGTTTGAACTTTCTTGAAGGCTATTCCTTGGAGCCAATATTCAAGGATATGGAATAGCAGCGAATTACTGATATCAACGCCAAGGATCTTTTGATCCACTGCACAGATTCCAACTCTGTGTAGAGAAATTGCATATGGTCTTCTCTAGGTGAATGTGAGCTGTGTATTAGATGTACACAGAAACTCCAGTGAGAACTGTCTGGAGCTGTTAACAAACTTCACTTTCTGGCGTGCCTGTTCCGTAGACCTTTGCAAACAGACAGAGTATTCATGTGAGGATGCAGAGATATGTATTCCAGCAAATCTGTTATCGTCTGCGGTGGATGCCAAACAAGAAATTCTTGAACAACTGGAGGTGGGAGGTCTTCAACATTTTCCATCGTAAATGTTAATGTATGTAGCAGACAGAAGGAGTATTATATAAAAAGTTAAGGCTTTCACATTTTTCTGGTTTTGACCTATGGCAAGGAGGCCGATATTTGCATTATTTCCATGGTATTCTTTTTCATAAGGGAGGGTTGAAAGCAAAGACTAAAGATTTCAACTTGAAGCCATTTGTTCCTCTGAAAGTCTGATTTAAAGTGAAAACCTGTTTAAAAATATAAAGGGGTGAAATAAAGATCTGTCAAACTAGGAATATTTTTTTATTATAAATAAAACTTTCAGTTAGAGACAGGTATGTCCAAATTTTTCTGGAACACTTTTTCTATAAGAGACACCATTATAAAATGTTAGGTTTCATCACCTTGCTTGTGAGCGTATTACTATAATTTTATGTGGCCCCAAAATATCCCAAATACTTCACAGAAAAGGCAGAAGACAGCTTCTCTTTCAAAAAGACTCTACAGTTTAAAAATGAGTTTTACATAAACAGTTTTAACAGCTAATGAATAATTTTCTGAACCATTTGCTGTAGTATATCTGAAATTTTAGCAATGATAAACCCTCTAATGTTTTCCTGAGACATGCAGTGAAGCATAAATATAATGTAGAAGATTTATGCTGGGAAGACAACCTTGTTTATGGGCATGCACTGAAAGAGATTGTAATAAGGTCTTGCTCAAAGCTCCTGCATAGATTTAGACCGTGGGCAGGTCTCCTACATATGCGTGAGTCAGGGGAACATGTTGCCAACTGTGAGAAGGCAAGCAATGTTTTAATCTCTTCGCTTCCAGTTTTCTCCTGTAACATGGCTGCAGCACTGTTCTCCCTAAAAACTCTCTTTCTTAATTTGGTAATGATAAAGAACCTCTGTAAACCAAGAATTTTGCTGACCACCGGCGCAGTGGTAATGAGATCTAAAAACCCTCCCTGGCTTTTGTCCTTTATTCAGTTGCTTTTTACATTCTGGCAGAGGTTGTTGCAGCCATTTTCCAGAAAGCTGTGCATATAACAAATGAACTAAGATCAGCAGCTGTGGTTCAAATAACTTGTTATGCTGTTTCCCAAATATATGGCTAATTCAAGGACGTCCTTGTCCCAGAAGAGCAAAACCAAGCAAATCCAAGTTAGTAACACCTACAGCACTTGTGAAAGCCGAAGGAGCATTTTGCTTCAGCCAGCTGAATAACACGGCATGAATGTCATGGTGCTGCCCTTCCTTATGTGCCATGAGACACCACACTCACTTGGATGGAAATGACCCACTATATGTTCCCAACTGTCACTTGCCTCCTGAATTCTCCCAGCTACCTGAGACAGGGGTTTACCAAGGTG